ACCTCTGGCACACTTTACATGCTGCATTGTAAGCAATTAGCTACGTGTTTCTAGAAATTGTACACACCATAGAAAAATAAAGCGTTATATTTGAGAAGCCATATACCGGCAAGGTGAGTATTTGTCACAGGAAGAACATGATCGAAGCTGCCCTGAGGATTTGTAATGCGATTGCTGAGATGCACAGCTGTGATAGAAGTATGATAATTCTCCTGGATCTCAGTGCCCAGCGTGGCCTGTCACATTGGCTAACGTTGTCACTTTAGCACTTTCCACTTCAATGACTTTACTTTTCATAGTGCACGGATGACAGTATGATTTATATCACTGCAAACAGGACAACTGAACTTCGGTGACAACCTTTATACTACTGAACAAACAACAACTATGTTACAGAGCAGAAAAACATTGGAGTGGCTCTGTACATCAAGCCAAACTGGTTCCTTTCACTTACTATTATCCATCTGCAGGCGCTTCACATATACAACCACGGGATGCTGGGAACATTTTTTATTTTGTTCATTATGATTAGTAAACAATAAAATCATATTTTCTTTTTTTTGGCAATCATGGGAGCCACAGGTGGGCACAGGGTTTGTGCTGGATGTGCCTGAGCACACCCTAATCACCATGTGCGCATTAGCATTATCACTCTGTTTGCCGACGGAGAGATGGAAAAGATCTCCCTCTGGCCAGCTCTGCCATAAAAGAAGTGCTACTGCACTTCTCGTTCACTGTGTGTATATATATATATATATATATATATATACCAGAGGTGTCCCTAGGGTTGGTGTCACCCAGTGTGGTAACACGTGGTGTCACCCCTCCAGAGAGGAAGGAGCAGTGCCGGTGTAGCAGTAAAATGAGTATTCCTTGAAGATATGTATCCCCTGAAGCAACTGGGGATGTGCTGGTTTCAGGAAGAAAAAGCCGATCTTCGACTTTAGCACAGAGCCGCCGATCAACTCGGCCTGAAACCGGCACATGCGTAGTTGCTCCAAGGGATACTCATTTTACCGCTACACCGGCACCGCTCCCTTCCTCTCTGGAGGGGTGACACGTGTCTGGAGGGGGAAGCTGTCACTGTGCCGGCATCCTGCTCCTGCACCCCCTGTGATGGTGTCACCCGATGTGGCCCACACCTCCCTAGGGATGCCACTGAGATATATATATTATATATATATATATATATATATATATATATATATATATACACACACACACGTGTGTTTGAGATAGCTTTGGGATGCACACACCTATGATAGGAGCATTCAAGCGACAAATCTTAATTCAAGATGAGGAAGATAAAATTGTTTTGTAGACAAAATTTGTTGCATGTGGTACAGTAGTTTAACATGTACTTAACACCTTAAAAAGGGTCTCTACTTTGCAGAAAACCAAATTTCCACTTAACAAGGGTGACTGCTTTAGAGAGCAGAGCAGACAAACATGATAATGGTCATATCAGAGAAGTGACCTCCATGAGAAGCCTATGATGTGGCCCACCTCCAGCACTTTATTATTCCCCCAAAGGCCACCTTTACTGGGCCAGCCATTTGTCCACTAAGTTTTGCACCACATAGGTCAGCCTAACTAGTAATTTCTATATCATAAAATATAGATAAGGGCCAGTGGAAAAATGGGCTGCAGGACATTCACCCAACAGGGTCAGTAGCAACAAAACATGTTGGGTTGGTGGACCTGACTGGAGATGCTTCCCTATTTAGACAACGATCAAAGCAGAACTTGCAGTCAGTGTCACATGCTGGGCATTATACAGTATAGCTACCTGCTTCTTGCTCTGACCAGACCTGACCAGAGCGTATAGCGGAGGGAAGTCTTCCAGCACCAACATCCTTTGCAGCTCTGAGATATCATGTGACCAAATACTGAAAGCTGCAAAGAAAATTGAAACCTGGGAACATCCACCTCTCTTCATGGCCACCCATTAATGTGGCACCCTTTGCATGGTATCATTTCTTCCCACAGAAAATTGACCCTACCATGAAAGGACTAGTTGATCATGTACACTCCCTAGCCAAAGGTTCCAAGTCCTTCTAATCAGGGACTATTCAGAAGTTGTACAGCTCTAGGATGAGCTAACATAGCCTGTCCACCATTATGGGCCCTCAGTCATTGAAGATTTAAGAATATGTTGTGTTTTTTTTTTCTTTCTTGTAAAAAACTAGAGATCTGTTAAGGACAGAACTTATATTTGTGCTACGGCCATAGAAACTGAACAAATGTCTAATTCAGGTTAGTTACTCACTGAACATTCTTCATCATAATATACAGTGGTCCACAAGGTTCCAAGTCCTTCTAATCAGGGACTATTCAGAAGTTGTACAGCTCTAGGAGGAGCTAACATAGCCTGTCCACCACTATGGGCCCTCAGTCATTGAAGATTTAAGAATATGTTGTGTTTTTTTTTCTTTCTTGTAAAAAACTAGAGATCTGTTAAGGACAGAACTTACAGTTGTGACCAAAATTATTCAACCCCCAATGCTGTAAAGGGGTTTAGGGACTATAGTGTACATTTGGAATTGTATTCAGAATCAAATCCTACAAGGACGTTGTAACTACCCAAATGCAACTAAAATGACATCAATTGTTTATGTAATACAGTAGTAAATGGTTCTTATGTGGTTTCTTCATTGCCACAATTATTCAACCCCTTAAAGACTACCACTCTGAAGAACAGAGGTTCATACAGGTGCTTTCCATCAGGTATTGAAAACACCTGTGGATGTCACCGAGCAGCAATCAAGCATAATAAGCACCAATTAGGCAGCTTTAAAATGACTGTGATACTCAGCTCCTTCTAGACATTTACTGGTGTGGTTACAAACATGGTGAAGGCAAGAGAATGGTCCAGGAAGACAAGAGAAGAGGTGATTTCTCTCTTCACAGGAAGGGCAATGGCTATAAGAAGATTGCAAAGATGTTAAACATACCAAGAGACACCTTAGGAAGCATCATTCGCAAATTCAAGGCAAAGGGCACTGTTGAAACGCTACCTGGTCGTGGCAGAAAGAAGATGCTGACTTCGACTGCTGTGCGCTACCTGAAGCGTAGAGTGGAGAGAAGTCCCCGTGTGACTGCTGAGGAACTGAGAAAAGATTTGTCAGATGTGGGTACAGAAGTTTCAGCCCAGACAATAAGACGCACACTGCGTAATGAAGGCCTCCGTGCCAGAACTCCCAGGCGTACCCCCTTGCTGTCTCCAAAGAATAAGAAGAGTCGACTGCAGTATGCCAAAAGCCATGTGGACAAACCACAAAAGTTGTGGGATAGTGTTCTGTGGACTGATGAAACAAAATTAGAACTGTTTGGGCCCATGGATCAACGCTATGTTTGGAGGAGGAAGAACAAGGCCTATGATGAAAAGAACACCTTGCCTACTGTGAAGCATGGTGGAGGGTCAATCATGCTTTTGGGGCTGTTTTGCTTCTGCAGGTACAGGGAAGCTTCAGCGTGTGCAAGGTACCATGAATTCTCTTCAGTACCAGGAGATATTGGATGGAAACGTGATGCAGTCCGTCACACACCTGAGGCTTGGGAGACGTTGGACCTTTCAACAGGACAATGATCCCAAGCATACCTCCAAGTCCACTAGAGCATGGTTGCAGAGGAAAGGCTGGAACATTTTGGAGTGGCCATCGCAGTCACCAGACTTAAATCCGATTGAGAACCTCTGGTGGGACTTAAAGAAAGCAGTTGCAGTGCGCAAGCCTAAGAATGTGACTGAACTGGAGGCCTTTGCCCATGAAGAATGGGCGAAGATACCCGTAGATCGCTGCAAGACACTTGTGTCAAGCTATGCTTCACGTTTAAAAAGCTGTTATAACTGTAAAAGGATGCTGTACTAAGTACTAAGATTGAATGTCACTTGGGGGGTTGAATAAAACTGATAATGCTGTGAGCACAGAAAAGACATTTGTGGTTATTTCATTATAACTGTTATGTTATATTTGTCTGACCTACAAGTGCCTCTTTAATGTAAATGTAAGCAAGATGACTGAATGATCAAAAGCAATGTCAAACTGGCCAAAACACTCAATTTCAGTGGGGGTTGAATAATTTTGGTCACAACTGTATATTTGTGCTACGGCCATAGAAACTGAACAAATGTCTAATTCAGGTTAGTTACTCACTGAACCTTCTTCATCATAATATACTGTGGTCCACAAGGCCGCTGCACTAATGTACTCCAGACGGCATGGCTATATATGGGAAATATAATATATGGCTATATATGGGAAAGTAATGCGCTTTACCCACTAATGCTTTTTTCCATTGCATTCAGTGATTCCTAGAAAAAACTTCCAACTTTCTTCACATTCAGATGTATTGTATTGCGTTGTAGAGTATCACATGGAATAAAATCATTTAACAAAAATGTTACTGTCAGTAGAACTCTCAGTAACTTAACTACCTTGCACTTCAAAGTAGCAGACTTCAAAAAAGGATTCCCTCTATTAAATGTAATTTTTCTTTCATAATTTGTTCCATTAATATCAATTACATTTCTTTGTCAGTGAACAAATTGACTCTTGTTTTCTTTGAAAACTACAAATTAAACACTAATATATAAAATATAATGTTATACATTGTTACATTCATCAGCAGCCAGGGTTTGAAGTGATGGGAAATCTTCCCAGTGGGGACTGAGAGAGACGAGCAGAGGGGAATAATGTTTTAACTAGTGTTACAAATGGGCTTTAAATGAAGAAAAGACTGACATTGAGCTGTGTAAGTAATCACATTTTAAACAATGTGTACAACACAATGACTACTAAACAGTCCCAAATTAAGAAGGGCAATGGAAATGTTCACAATTGCAATTTTAAACAGATATCTTTGTTAACTATGCTTTTGGTTGACAAGTACCAAAGCAAAAATGTTAATAAAAAAATTATACAAGAAAAAACCAAAACCAAGTCCTCCAGAAACAACAAAGCACCAGCAAAACCTGTTAAAGAGAACCTGTTTCTCACACATACCAAGAACCTACATGTGCAGCCCAATAATCAAGTTCCCCAAAAGGCTGCATAAATATATGCTTAGCTCCCCAATTACTTTTCTGGAAGCAAAACTGAGTTCCTGGTTCTGAGTTTTCTTTCTTGAAGGTTACTAAACCCAGGACCCTGCATTCACTATATCTGCTCTCCCCGGACTCTGCATTTACTATATCTGGTCTCCCCGGACACTGCATTCACTATATCTGGTCTCCCCGGAACCTGCATTCACTATATATGGTCTCCCAGGACCCTGCATTCACTATATTTGGTCTCCCAGGACCCTGCATTCACTATATCTGGTCTCCCAGGACCCTGCATTCACTATATCTGGTCTCCCCCGGACCCCTCATTCACTATATCTGGTCTCCCCAGACCCCTCATTCACTATATCTGGTCTCCCCAGACCCCGCATTCACTATATCTAGTCTCCCAGGACCCTGCAGTCACTATATCTGGTCTCCCCGGACCGCTCATTCACTATATCTGGTCTCCCCTGACCCTGCATTTACTATATCTGGTCTCCCACAGTACACACAACATGGATATGCAATTATTTTAGTAAATATAAACTGCTAAATACCTTTTCTCATCAGCAGTTAGGGCAGTCTTGTGACTTCAGCAGAGCACTAGTTAAAGATTGTAGGAGGAGTTTTCTTTCTGCTCTAGGAGGATGTGAAACCTCTGACCCTCTGTCTGGACAGTGCTGATTGGCTGATTGGCCCTGTGCTGATCACATGCACTCTCCCAAGAAAAAAAAAAAACCTCTCTAGCAATATTTATTATTACAGGTACTTATACAGCGCCGTCAATTTACGCAGCGCTTTACATATATATATTGTACATACACAGCAGTCCCTAACCCTCAAGGGGCGTACAATCAATACACACCTAACTGAGCATGTGACGTCACCACGGGTTCAGTCTGTATCAGGTGGTCAGTTTAACAAGAGGAGGGGCAGAGAAGAAAGGATCAAACAGCCTTTTTACACAATGCAGAGGATTAACCCCTTAGGATCCACAGTAAGCATATCAAGCATGCTTTACTGTATATACAGACTGATTTTACTCTTGTGGGTTTAGCAACACTTTAAAGCCCAACTCCAAGCAACCAAAATTTATTTTATCATGCAGGCACAAGCATCACTGCAAGGGATAATTGCTTTTTGAGGTCTAAGGGAAGTCAATCCTCCCGCTGCTAGACTTGCCTCCGCAACCTCTTCTTCCCCGAACTCTAGGACAGGAGTTTCCAAACGTTTTAAACAAAGAGCCAGTTTACTGTCCTTCAGCCTTCAGGGGGGCCCCACTGTGGCCAGTGTGAGCTTCAAATGTCCCAGCATTAGTGGGAGTAAACATTGCCCCATCATTGGTTTCATCAACAGGAGGAATAGTGCCCCATTGTTGTTTTTTGCAGGAGGACTAGTGCCCCATGGTTGGTATCAATGGGAGGAATAGTGCCCCATCGAAGGTATGAATGGGGGGAATAGTGTCCCATCGAAGGTATCAATGGGGGGAATAGTGTCCCATCGAAGGTATCAATGGGGGGAATAGTGTCCCATTGAAGGTATCAATGGGGGGAATAGTGTCCCATTGAAGGTATTAATGGGGGGAATAGTGTCCCATCGAAGGTATCAGTGGGGGGAATAATGTCCCATCGAAGGTATCAATGGGGGGAATAGTGTTCCATCGAATGTATCAATGGGGGGAATAGTGTCCCATCGAAGGTATCAATGGGGGGAATAATGTCCTATTGAAGGTATCAATGGGGGGAATAGTGCCCCATCGAAGGTGTCAGTGGGGGGGAATAGCGTCCAATCGAAGGTATCAATGGGGGGAATAGTGTCCCATCGAAGGTATCAATGGGGGGAATAGTGTCCCATCGAAGGTATCAATGGGGGGAATAATGTCCTATTGAAGGTATCAATGGGGGGAATAGTGTCCCATCGAAGGTATTAATGGGGGGAATAGTGCCCCATCGAAGGTGTCAGTGGGGGGAATAGCGTCCCATCGAAGGTATCTATGGGGGGAATAGTGTCCCATCGAAGATGTCAGTGGGAGGAATAGTGCCCCATGGTTGTTATCAATGGGGGGAAAAGTGCCCCATCGAAGGGTGTCGGGGGGAATAGTGTCCCATCGAAGGTGTCAAAGGGAAAGAATAGTGCCCCATCATTGGTCTTAGCAGGAGGAATAGTGGCCCATTGACAGTCTCAGTAGGAGGACTAGTGGTCCGTTATTGGTGTCAATTGGAGCAATGGTGCCTCATCACTGGTGTCAGTTGGTAGAATAATGTTCTAAATGGCTGGAGAAAGGCAAGCAAAGGGAGACCACTGCTCTAGGATTATCATATCATCAAGACCAAGGCATGGTCCACAGCCTGCTAATGCTGAGAGACAGCCCTCCGCCTCAGCATGGGGGATCGCCATCTGCTGGGAGAGCAGAGGATCATTTAAGTAAAAGTATTCCTCCTCTTCCCTAGATAAAACAAGCAATTAACCTTTGCAGTGCGGGTGCAGCCCCACTGCAAGGGATCATTTCATATTTTCCTGAAGTTGGGCTTTAGGGAGCGAATCGGGGCACCTTATGAGAAGGTAAACAGCAGATCCATTGACTGTGCAGTCTTGCCACTGGGCACTACCCCTGATTTTGGATAACATCAAGATCAGCCCTCCTAGCCCTTTTGTATTGTATTGTATATGCACTGTTGGTACTATACTGTATAAATCCTGTATAATAAGTATCACTTTTATCTATATATGGGGCGGCACAGTGGCTTAGTGTTTAGCACGTCTGCCTTGCAGTAAATGGGTCATGGGTTCAATTCCCAACCATGGCGCATCCTGCATGGAGTTTGCATGTTCTCCCTGTGCTTGCATGGGGTTCCTCCGAGTGCTCCGGTTTCCTCCCACACTCCAAAGACATGCTGGTAGGTTAATTGGATCCTGTCTAAATTGGCCCTACTATGTGTATGTATGAATGTGAGTTAGGGACCTTAGATTGTACACCCCTTGAGGGTTAGGGACTGATGTGAATGTTCAATATATATATGTGTAAAGCATTGCATAAATTGACAGCGCTATATAAGTACCTGAAATAAATAAAATATCTAGTGGGCTAACCCTAGGCCAAAGGATAATATTGACAAGCACAGTTCTAGGAAACACATAAGGTGAAGTGAAAGATAATGGGTATAACTTGATGAGTCAGTGGTGTGGCTGAACAAACCTAGGTAAGTTAAGTGCATTTAATTGTGAGGCTTAAAGTGATATTAAACCCTCAGTTTTTTCAACAGTGGATTCAATCACTTACGGAGTATGCAGCTTCTTTATCTTTATTCATTGCCTATGTTCCTGTTTAAGCTGGTGCCATGGCGACTGCCCTAGGTTCTTTTTGCAGCATCCTATGGAGCCCCCCTTGCATGCAGGGACTTGAGTTGTATCTCCTTACGCTGTGTGCATCAATAGAAACACTCAACCCTGTAGTCTAGGATAGCAAGGCACTCCCCTGCTCCTCCCCTCCTTGAAGCTAAGAGACTGATTGGAGACTGCACTGTCCACTGTTAACTCTGTCTTGTGAAACCAGAAGTTCAGGCAAGCAGCACTCTGAGAGCAGTACCCAACAGCATTAAAAAATGTAAAATGGCGGGGTAATATAAATAGATTCTTTTATTGTGCTCAATGTGGGAAACTAGAAATGCTGAGGCTTTAATGTTACTTTAACACAGTCACAGTTTAACATCTTAAAATCCTAAAAATCATGCCCTCAGTAACCGCATGGTAATCTGAAGCCCTGGACATCAGTGCAAGCTGATTTCATTTCTACAGCTATGCAGCTGTAAATAATTATTACTTGAGTCTATTTTTTTTAAAGGAACAATTTCAACCCAACAGGCCAATGTACCTTTGAAACACATTTACAGAACTTTTTCACTAACCAAAATATTTGTGAACAAATAGAAATATGATTCCCCCACCCACGCAGAGCTATTTGACTGCATAGCAAAAGGAAAATGACACCTTTTTTCAGCATCTGCAAACTCTGTGTCACTGCCCCGCCCCCCTCTGATCTTTTTTTCTACTAGTGAACATCACCTTATTAGTGGATCCTAGCCTGAGCTTTCTAATACGTGGCCCTGAGGACCACCCTTTATCAGTCCACTCCCTCTGAAAAACCACCTTCAACTTTCAACTGGTTGCGGCCACACAGTATAAACATATATTTCATATTTCACAAGCTGAATACAAAAATTATTTAGCATCTCAAGGAATACATTAATTTAAGAAATCATGTTTCTATATTCTTCTTTAATATTAGTATTACGTAGCAGCAGGAGTATACCCTGTTAAATTAAAACTATATTTTTTATACTATGTGATCAACATGTAAATATTTCAAACAATAAACTTTTGTGCAAGCTCTCTACACATAGGGGTCTGTTTATAAATGTTTATTTCCTATGATCATCTGCTCCATCTAGTGGTCAAAGTGGGATATTACCCTGATTGAGATAATTCAGCAAAATACCACATTATCACCACTAGACAGAGCTAGAGGAAATAAACATATTAGACATATTATGGGGATTATTTGCGAAGGATGTGCGAATGCTGAGACAATTTTTTAGTAAATAGACCCCCTAAGGTATTATTAACCATGAGGAAATGTCTAAAGTGCAAATATGCATAAAATATCTCTAATATATTATTATATGTTTTATTAAATCTGTAATAAATTAGTTCTGGTTTGCACTCTGACACGATAGAATAAAGTTTTCATTAGAACACTATCTATATCTATTCTCTATATCCTGACAATGACATATTTATTTCATATAAGACATAATATACTCTGGGCTAAAAACACTATAGTATCTAGCAAATGATCTTAATAAATATATTTTGGTGAAAAACTATTGTCTCTTTTTATATAGGATAAATATTAGATTATTGCTGTGAAAGTGCCATTTGTTTCTCAAGTCATTAAATATTGCTTTCCAGATTTTTGGGTTGCTATGTAGATTAACCAACCACAGCAATCATTACATAGCTGTAATTTTGCAGAAGTTTAGTACAATGGTGTACCATATTTTTTCAGACCTGATTTTGCTGCAACTACATATAAAGCTCTGTCCCTCGGCATGTGACGTCACATCTTTGGCATGTGACGTCACATTATGATATATGATATAAAGCACACCAAGCACGTCCATCAGATAGACAAGGGAGAAGACAACAGGCTTTTAAAAAAAATACAAGGCTAATGGTAGGATGAAGCTCCCAAGTCACAACCTGTGCTTAGGAGAAGGAGAACAATGGGCCTTGTGCTGGTAATGGTTATCTTGGCTGCAATCACTGTAAAATAGGTACCCATCAGAAAGGCAAGGGAGGAGGCAGCAGGCCTTTAAAAAAATACAGACCAGGAGGCTATTAGTAGGATGAAGCTCACAAGTCACAGCCAATACTTAGAAGGCAGAGAATGATGGGCCTTGTGCTGGCAGTGGTTATCTTGACCACTATCACTGTACTATA